ATACAGGTTCTACTCTGCGAACAAGACATCACTAGTATTTGCCTAGATAGTCTAGGCACGCTGTAAGCCCGCGACAGACTGTCTAAGCCAATTATACACACTAATGCATAAGCAGGAAACATTTACTTTATGTAATAGGACTACTTAGGAACAATACATTTATGCTAAAGTATTAGATTACTTGGTAACTTACCTGTACTTAACGGTTGCTTCGATTATCATCTTACAATGGGTTTCGATTAGTATTGGCGTCTTTCAGTTTTTGAACTTTCTCTATAGTAGCATGGAGTCCTTTATTCCGTGCCCTCGAGTCCGACCACCGAGACACCGATTCCAGCCTTCGAAGAATGACTGGCATGACATTATGAGCCTACAGTTTGTGATTGAGCCAATACTAGTAAGGAATATAATAACGGATTACATGGTTTCTTTTACTTTGTACGTGGTTTTTTACCGGATTGTAAGGAAAACTGCGGAAAAACTAATGTTACCGGGAAAATTCTCAACAAGTAAAAGAAATGATGAAATGAACCACTACTAAATGAAATTGCCAACTAGTTTACGTTACTTCTAGTGTTTTCTTTCATTCTTGTCAACTTTCCCACTGTTGTTTATAAATATATAAGGCCATCTAGTGTTTTCTTGTTTTTCCTTAAGGAAAATAACCTCCTTTTTGTCCACATTATGTCGATATATCAGAAAAGAATACCAGTATAAATCAGATAGGTATTGCATTTGTTGTTTGCAATAAAAAGCGTTAATAAAATCCTCAATATCAATTCAAGAGATTTGCGATTTTATGCGATGATCCTGATTTAATGAGTATTGACAGTCAGATAGTCGCACATCCTGCAATTTATCTCCTCAGGGTCTCCAGCAATTGGCTCCTTCGCAATTGTTATCACAATTGGTTGCAGGGAATTGGAACCAACTGCGGTCACTGGCTGTGTCATTGTCATTGCACTGGAATGTATTGTACACAAATGAAAGTCGATCTACAATTTGTACCTATTAAGTATTATATTGCAGGAAGTCGTCGGATACCAGTAGCGAAGTGTTGTCCAGTGCGGCAGCTAAGGGCCTTGATTGAGCACTAAATGTCTACCAGATAAATGATGTTTATAATCATGATGGCATAATACAAAACAAGAAAAGTTTTAAGTACCTATGTATTATGTATTTAAAACTAATCGACAAGTTCCTTCACGAACCTGCTACGAAGGTGCTACGGTGGCTACGAAGCTACGAATTGATATGTATACCTGTTTTTACAACTTGAACTTGTCTCGTAAATAATCTTTAACACATTGGATGCTGTGTCGGACAATGATGTCCGACGCTAGCGGAGGACCAGCTTTAAACAGATTTTATCGGATGTTAAAGGCTTAATTCGCAATTATGGTATTATGGTCCAGTAATAGGATACCTACTTCCCTATCTTTGCAATTACGTTAAGTATTAAAGAATTTTAAAATAAAGGACGGCATGAAATTATTGTGTTGATATTACCTCCTGTAAATTCAGGAGTAACAAAGTATGAAGCCTGCGTGTACCGTGTCCGGTCACGTGACGACCTCGACACGACCTCGCACCCTGCCCCACGTCGCTACCTGTTGCCAACTCCACTCTGTTGTGTTACTCCACAGCATTTCGCAAACGTTACCTAATGGCGGAAGGCAAGCAAGGCTTCCCGAGATTACCGCGACTTTGACTTAACGACTTTATGATTATACGACAGGAACATTATACTTCAGTGTGTTCATATAAAGCAATTAAGCTGCAACATAGTTCAAATTGGAGGGGACAACAATTTCATTTTACTGTTTAGTTAGGTTATAAACTCATCATCTCTGGGGTGTTAAAATTTAGATTTAATAATAATAAGCAATCAACTGCCTTAAAAATACACCGAGTCGCTCTGAAAGGTTGTTTAATGAAAATGTGCATTTATTTGCATTAGCACAAAGTACACATATCCTATAATATATTTTCCATGACAGTTTAATGACTTGCTTATTGGTTGAGACTCGAAGGTCGCTATTGATAGTGATGATAATTACCAACTTAGTGGCAGCACTTTCATAGTCGGTATGGTGTTAAACAAAGCCGAGTGCGGCAATAAGTTTTAATATAAAGATATTGTGTGTCCAACTAATTCAACACTAGATCCTGCACATGACTTGAGTATCGTCGTGACAAAGTCAATAGGACAGCCAGTTAAATGGTTATTGTTGAAAAATAGCCAAGTATTGGACCGTGACGTGACTGCTAAGACATTAAACTTAAGCGAGAAATAAATGACATGTCGTTTGTTTACATTAACAAGAAAAAAGTTAATAACGAGGTTCTTTTGTTACAAAGGCTTTGAATATTATCTGCATACTAATGGGACCTAGGTGTTTCAGTAACATGTACATGTTTTCAAGACTTAGGTAACTGACAGAAATATGAAAGTGGACGAACAGCATGTCTAACTAAAAATTTCGTAATCTAAAGCAAGTTTAAAAAGAGAAAACTCAGTTCTTCCATACAAAATACTTTAAGCGATATAAGTCAGTACCTACTGATACAAAAGTTGTAAAAAAATAAACGACTCATAAAAACACTCGTTATTCCTTGAAAGGGTTGAAGTTAGCGTGACACGGTGACACCCTCGTGTTAGGAGTCACGTTTGCGAGCACTGGACCTGCGAAGCCAACATTACAGACTCACTTACATTTAGAATAATACAACCTCAGTATTTGCCTAATTAACTATGAAGCAATGCGCAATTTGACATTTGTCCCCCAAGTTAAACCACCGAGTGATGCCCGGAAGCCGTACATTACGATGCTGTGATACTCTGTAATCTGCCATACATGGCTGTTCCCGCGGATACAACCGGCCATTATATTGTGCACACACCGTGTACTTGAGTAATATAATTGAATAAATCAGGCATATTCTTGCACACACACACACACACATTAATGATGCCTATATTAATGTTATTTATTACTTCATTTTTAACAGGCTATATTTTTCCAGCGCCATTATTTTTTCTTAATTTCCGTATAAATAATGATGCATTATGACAAGTTATTAAATAAGATGAAATATGATGATGGTCATAAATATAATTCCAATTCATATTACAGTCGTAAGTATACGTGAGTTATTGCCTGAATACATCATTATTCAGAGTATTTCAGTCGTCATTTGCTAGCTGGCAGTTCTTAGTTGCTCCAGTCCATAGGATTTTGGTACTGGGTCCATGACCCTGACCCCAGACGTGGGCTGAGTCAGTACATTGATGTCATGTCAGTAAATCAGTGGAGTAGGAAGTGACCGTGACTCGTGGCTCATACAGTCGGCTCGCATGATAATTGCCATAATTCAATTAAGCTCTGATTGCGGGTTCGATTGTTTAGTTGTGAATACTCAGTAGATGTCGTCATCCAGGATTTTTCCGTCAGCTCGCAGATGTATGGTCTAAGTAGGAGCTGGGTAGGTACCTACCTACAAACTGCTATAGACTATATTTTATTGTATACGGGAGCTGACAGCGTGTACTTAATTATATTTATAATCATTTATACAGTTTGGACCTGCAAAGTACCCGCAGAAGAATCATTTTAATATGTCGGGAGGAAAGATAGAATAATAAGGCAAAGATAAACAATCTTTGCAATTAGAATAATTCGAAAATTCGATTAGCTCGAGACTCGAGAATCGCGCCTGATTTTCAAATATCTTCACCTCTCAGGCTAGGTATCTTTGAGCTCGTAAACTACTTATATGACAGAAAAAACAAGTACGTTCTCATCCAGTGGCGTAGCGTGTCTTGGCGAGGCCCCGTATAAAAATTTATTTGGGGGCCCTTATGAAAGGTAAACATTTCTCAAAAGAGATATTTTTTACACAAAATACCTCCTGTACCCAAATTATCGGACAATGATTAGATACTTTAGTTTTGAGATTTCTCTATTACATGGTTTCTGCCAACCTTTGATCGCATGTATTTTGTGATTACTGAAATAAAATGTAAGTTGAGAAGTTTTTATATTTTTGCTTACACACGTTGGGGCCCTCGTAGTCCGGGGCTCCATATAATTGATACTGCAGATACGGCGCTAGCTACGCCCCTGGTTCACGTTATAACCCAGAATGAGGTGTGTTGTCTGTATGTCAGTCACGCACACGCTGTGTAAACTGCAGCGTCGAGTTTCCAATTTCCATACATTTTCATAATATTGATAAATGACGTAATACTTCGGTGGCGCAGATACCTGGTCCTTGACTGTCCATGTACAACTTAAATGTAAAGACTTATTATACTGATTAAATACTTAAATAAATGACGTATATTTTTCTAATATAAATGTACCTCTAATGCTATCTATGTGTGTAGCTGCTATAAATCACAGGACCCACCACTACATAACTCCAACGTCCGGTGCCAGGCCGCAGGCACACGTCCACACTCCTCGCGTGGCATATGTTCCGTGTAAACACAGCTTTGCATGACATGTGGCGTTTACATATTAGATATTGTTATATAACTCGGGGAACGCTCTGACCTAGACCCAGTCACTGAACGAGACTACATAGTTTCGATATCATTTATACAAATAAAAGTACCTTTCTACTGAAAGTTGAACTGAACGTTGAACGCTCAACTTTCAGTAGATAATTACTTTTGTAAAGAGTTGAATATGATGATAGGCCCTATCGAAGTGATATATAACACACAGTGAAATCACAACAAAATAATTACACAACAACAACACAACATTTATTGTTTAGTTAGTTAGTTAACTTATTTCCTTTCAAACCGTCAGAAGCGACGATGAAAACAATAAATCGTCTCTAAGACAGATACTATCAACAACATCGACACCCCATTACCTTCAAAATACAGTTTAACATGTTAACTATAATAATGATAGACATATTAACTAGAAAGTTCTACAACCTTCGAAATGATAGCGATCGATTGTGATCACAAATGAAAGACAATGTTCTTGCAAGCATTCGTTTATTTACTAGGCTTTGGTGTGTTCAATACAAAACGTATACAAAGTTAAATGCCGGGAAATGCATTATTTTAAGTAAATAGATTTGAGGCTCGTGTACACTGACAGCCTACGGATTTCTAGATTTCTACTAGACAAGGTGATCTTATTGCGATATCTTCTCTGAAACTATCTTCAACATAGGTTTCTCTATCTTATTCCTAGATGTTGGGTGATTTTGAGTGATGCGTACATACGAGCCCTGTTAGTAATAGTAAATTAGTTTATTATATCATAGTAAGAAGTTAACACTTTCTGTAGCAGCGCCTGCGTCTAGCCATGGCGCGCGGACACGCTGCGCCTCCCGGACCCGGCTGCACCTGTACAACAAATACATACATTTAGAGCAATTGACTTATTAACACTCATCCTAAGGATTAAAGACACCAAAACAACCTTTCACCTCAACTTTATTTTAAGCAGTATAAAGTCGAAAATGTACTAATTTTTTTGTCAGATACATAGATGGATATTGGTATGCTGGCGTTTGATATAAATAACTATATTGACTGTAGTAGTAAGCGATGGAATTCCACGACTGTACGCAGATACATCTCGGGTAGTGTCCTGTATTTTATTCAAGTCTACAGTGATGAGTAACATAAACAAATCAATGTGTCAAAAACTGGGTCCAATGTGTTTAAATCTATAATGACGTGTTTGTATTTACTCTAACTAATATTATATCGTACACTCATCAGTATCGGCAACCTATGATTTCATGACGTTTAATAAATAGCGCGCTGTAATACATTTATTTAATTTTATACAATTTGTTTGTTCAGCCACTGAGCCACACACACACACACGCCGCACTATTTATTTCTGTGAACGATATCAAGTGAGCCGATTTATTTCAATACATGAGTCTACTTTTAAATGTGAGTTCTATTTTCTCTCGAACACTATTAGTGTTGGACTTATGGTTATAGAATATTACAGTTTCCTTTATTAAACGGTTTAGCTTGCACCGTTTGTTTGGGTGAAAAGTAGTTGGAATTTTATCCCCTTCCTGACGATACTATTTGGTACACATTTGATGATCGTAATATTATCAATGGTTTTCTACAACTACTTCGATTATGGACATGAAACGTAAAGGCTTGATTAATAAAACAAAGCTCATTAAACTGTCAAATACCAAGCGGTCACCGGTGACCGCAACCTATTGTTCTATAATTGTGTCTACAAAACCAGTACTCGACGAGTTAAAACCGTTCAACACAAAAATATATTTTGTATTTGCATTCTTGTACACATTCCGCACATGTTCCTCGGGTCGCTGTCGCCGCCCTAGTGGCCAATCGCGCCAACCTTGACCTGCCACAATAAGGCGGGCCACACACTTGTGTCTCCAATTAACATGTGCACGCTGCGACCGCTCGCGCCGGTACGTACGTTACGTACCGCGCCAGATATTTCAGTAATGATTGATTGAATCAATCAAGCCACCAGACAAGTTTATTAAATTACATGTTCTTTTGATTAGCAGCAAACCATTTGGACACTTGAACTTGTGATTGTTAATGTATGGAATAAATCTTCATTGTAAGGTCATTGCTATGATCTTCCTGTGGCTGCTTGCGTGATTCATTGCTTTATTTGGTCGATGCTTGGCGTGACCCGGCGGCGAGCTATTCGCGAACCTATCAGACGATGTTCCAGCCGAATTGGTTAAAAAAGAAGAAATAGGCCAGTCTTGTTAACAAACATCTACTTAATTTTAACCTAGTTAATAAAGTTCAAATTATTTGTCTGAAGTTTATACTTGTCGAACTATATAACAATACTGAACACCGCTGTCTACACCGATTGCTGATCCACTATCACACAGATTTCATATTACCGATAGCTGAACGATTTGTTTCATGTTACCCGGAGTTTAACAAACAGTTCCACAATGTAGTGTACAGTGAAAAACTAATAACATTTAAATATTTAATGACTCATTAATATTGTAGTAGACAATAATGACTGTCAGGCTGACACATTTTTTTTCTCACTATATTTTACGTTGTGTTTCTTTGCAGGTAAGCTGTTGGTTCCCACGATGTACTACGGCTCCGAGTTACGTGTCCCTGCTGTGTATGCGGTATGTCCTTACTTATAGTACAAGCTCTGATACATTGTTGTAAATTGCATGAAGGACACCGAACACTAAGAGGGTCACACGTAACATTTTTAAATTATAAGCAGGTATTCCATTGTATTTTAGCAATAAACTTGAAAGTAATGAACTAATTTAGAAAAGCAGTAACCTCTATATTAAATTAACTGTAATATAAGTAGAGTAACTGCTGGAAACATAAAGAGTTAATAGACTATAACTTTAAGTAAATACTTTGATACTTCATTGAATATACTCGGTATAATAACAGTGTCAATATCGTAGCTCACTCACCGGTCGGTGGATACAACCGGCTGGTGGTTGCGTCGATATCGATTAAGTATCGTTTGTCCACCCTGCATCGTGATGTCTTTACAAATACCAATAACTACCATAACTACAACCATACTATCGTATAACGAATGCTTTGTTATATCTACTGTTTTTTACAAAAAAAAACATGGTTTAACTCGTCGAGTATCGGTTTTGTAGACACAATTATAGAACAATAGGTTGCGGTCACCGGTGACCGCTTGGTGTTTGACAGTTTAATATACGAAATTCTTGTTAGATACTTGGTATAATTTTAAAATCACCAAAACATTATTTTACAAACACAGTAAAGTACATATATGTAGGTATTTGTTACATAGAGTAATGTAACCCTTTCAGAAATGAGATCTGTGGTACATACACACTGTGTCGTCACTTCGTCACAATGTTTGTCTCATATTTAGTAAACACCAAGTAATGAGCTTGTAACGAATTATTTTCAATCACCTCTCTTTGTCCGACACAATGCAAGTAAAACAAATAACTGTCATTATTGAGACGTGTTTGTTTGTACAACAGTTACTACAAACAATCTGCATCACTCATCCTTATTGAAAAAACAAAGATATGATCTAATGACGCGTGAAAACCAAATCGTTAATTTTTAAATATCTTAATACAAAGCAGACATTTTTATAATTAAGTACATTAAAGTAAATAACATTTTGATTTGCGAAAATCAATGAAACAGTGTGTGGCTGTAATCCACTCGAATGTGTTCGTATGAATAATGTGTTGGTAAAACGCGGGAACAGTTCGGCCCATAGACAAGAAGGAGGAAAGAAGGTTAGGTCGTGACAAGTACCGCTGCCACACTTATCAATGGCTAGGCGCTACGAACGCTACACTACACTACTACGCGCGCGGTAATGAAGCACCGACCAAATTGTTGTCATAACATCATACATAACATCACGCCTTTTAACCCCGAAGGGGTAGGCAGAGGTGCACATTATGCCACTGTACAATGTACTACCCAGTTTTCACTATTTCTGTTGCCCGACCCGGGAATCGAACCCAAGACCCCTTGCCCGGCAGTCGCACTTGCGACCACTCGGCCAAAGAGGCAGTCTGTTATAATGTTCTTCAACTACAATCATATTTTTTAATATTCACCTCAATGGTGAAAATGACAATTAGTAACTTTAATAACTTCACATTCATATGAAGTTGATTTTCTTTTATATTTTACATAGTTTCAATGTCGATACGTTTCAAGTCACACTGCAGTGACAGGAAAGAGTCAAGTGTTACGTTGGCAATTGCAGCGGTCCCTCTGTTGTTTGTGCCCTGTGCAGTGACGCGGCGAGGTCAGCTCGACTGTTGTCTCTGTGATTGATCACTATTTTTAGATCCGATGACTGTTACAACGACTCAACCTTCCCATCAATTTCTCTCTACCGTATAATGCTTGTATTTATTTTTAACAGTTTTTTATTTGTTATTTATTTCTCTTTGAAAAATATAGCCAATTTAGAAAAATGGTGGGTATAAAACCAATTGACATTTATAAAAAAATCCAAAGGCCATATCTAAGTATGTTTAAGGATTTCCACAAAAAAACAACCAACAAGGATTTGTCACAGGGTTAAGTCAAACAGCCGTGATACATGTCCACACAAATATGTACAGTATACACAATTCCATATGTACATACCTACGTATACATTATGTACCTCCATGTAAGGCTACACGCGTTTGCTTTTCACATGTTTAAATACATGACATAACAAATCAATACTGCGGGCAAATGTCTTTGGAAACATCATTACTTCCATAGAATTTCTACGTTTAGTCTTATCTATTGTATCATCCGTAGATATGTCATAGTCAAGGTCAAAATCATTAATTTATTGCAATTAGACCAGAAAAGCAATTTTGAGTGTCAACAAAAAATTAAAAGTAAAGCTATTGCTCATTCCAAGATGTGAAGTGAAGAAACTCCATAGGTTTTTCTCTTTTTCAATCAGGTTCACAATACAATTATCTAGTTACATAGTTTTGTTGTTCGATTGTGCGAGAACAATGTAACACCAAAATCCAGTCAAAGAGATCGAAAAAGAAAATAACCTCAAGGACAATTTATGGTCTTCCTGTTGTAAAGACAGATAATTAAATATACCTAGACCTATTACTTGAGACCTAAGTAAGTTTAATTGAAACTTAATTGTGTTGTTTGGAAGCTTACCCGAGTGACGCGCGTAATCTTTTTAACATTACTGATCCACAACTTACAGTTGTAAGGTTGGAACTATCAATGATTTTACGCCACTGTTTCCCATTCACACCACAATCATTCGAGGAATTTAGAGTTTATTATCATTAATTACATTTTAGCTACTAACATTCAAAACGAAAGCAGTTCGTTTCATATGACAATTTTGATAAATTGCCATTTTGACTGCACGGTTAACACGGTGGCTCGGCAACCGGCTGCCGCGCAATGCGTAGCGGGTTCGATTCCCGCACGGAACAACACATTGTGTTATCCACAAAATTGTTTTTTCGGTTCTGGATGTAATGTGTATGTGAACTTATTTGTTCGTAAACGCACTCAAGATACAGGAGAAAATCCTATGTGAGGCAATGTTGTTTATAAAGAAAAAATGTTTACAAAGTTGAGCTAGTTCTAGAAAAGAGTTGCCTCCAGCTTTTTTACTTAAACGGTGCCACTGTTGACCTCTGGCATCTAGCGTAGCTTAAGTCAAGTCGCCACAAGACCAATATCAAACTATAAAAGAACCCGCTATGGTTACGAGAATGATATTTTTAAAATCCTTATAAAGTTTAAGGCATTGGCTGCCAATAAAAAACTGTTGAAGGCAAATCCTCCGCTAATGTCGGTCACCAGTGACTGCCATGGCGTTTAACGTGTTAATCGTGTGAACTGATCACGAAAATCTCTAAAAAAGGTTATACTCACCAGCACAGTCCTGGTGCGCTCCTGGTAGCCGGTGCCGCAGGAGACCGAGCACTTGCTCCACTCACCCCACGGGCTCACCTGGCAGTCTCCGGCTTGAGCTAGAGATGGTCCTGCACATGACATATTGAACATTGAGACCGTTTTCCTAAAATTGATTTAAAGTTACATCATTTCACAATGACGACACCCCATAAGCAATAGTGGATCAATCTCAAGGTGGATGTGTCCGTGTAAGGAGAAGCCAAAATACTTCGCGGCAGGCCTTGACCCACCCGCGCGATATAAATAGACACTCGTTATGTCGAACCCTGCCCAAACTAGGCATGCTTGTGCTAGGACTTATCCGAATTCGGTTTTTTTTTTCAGTAACTTCAGTCACGCTCACGTTAATGTTTATCTTCACATATTATGTCATTAAATATATTTTTGTCAACTTTGTTGTGTTCCCATTGTAATCGACAGAAAACATTATTAAAAACAGGGACAAGTTCAAAAAGCCCTTGCCTTGCTGTTGCCAGAAAAAACCCGAATTTTCTGTTTCTGTTTTATCTTTTTACGTATAAAGATTCCAACTCTTGTTTCTTGCACGAAATTTTTTTTTGGTGAGCAATAAAAAAAAGAAATGGTAAAATAAAAATCTATATTCTGTATTGCATCCGCTGTCGGTACTTACCATTAACGTTATTGGACGTTGGCACGGCGTTGTTGAGCGTGGGGCCCGGCAGTGGGCCTAGTGGGAGCCCTGCTGGTGGGCCGCCTCCTCCTGTACAACACAACCAATGTTGGGGTGCATAAGTACGTATTATAAGAAACATATTAAAGCAGCTGTGACAATAAGTTCCACTAAGTAGGTTTTTAATTTCTAAAGCTGAGTTCATTAACCCGTGATATTTCTGGACAAACAATCTTCTCACAGTAGTCTCATCTGTAAAATTTCAGATCTTTATACAAAAACGTTTTTACTCCTTTTAAAGGAGTTGCAGTGTTTTTTTTTTGGGGGAAATTCATCCAATAATTTCTCCCGCCCGGGTGAGATGAGAGGGAGTGTCAGACTTTTACTGATTGAAAACCACCCCGTTCGCACTCCTTCACTTCGAGCCGCGCGCGGAACGAGTTGCAGTGTTTGGGAATATGTGACAAACTTATCACATTCCTGTATTCATGTATATATATATATATATATATGTAGCACTAGTTATATAGCTTGTAATTTCCTGGAAGTTGTATGCAAATTCTGACCCTACGACCGCCACATAACGATAGCGCTAATCGAAGCGTCAAATTGTTATGATTTATATCGTTTCCCTTTTCGGCTGTGTACCTACGTATAATTATATATTTCATGTATGTACGTAGTAACGGTACAGGCGACCATTATTACAATACATAGTTATTTTCACATTAGTAAGTACTACGAAAATGATAAATGCTCGTGAATTTGTATTGTTATGTCCGTGCGATTAGCCAGTACACAATGGAACACAATATTTAGTAAATAGGTACCTACGTGGAGACTGTCGCTAAGTCGATAACTAGGTATAACTGTCAAAAACATGGGCAATCAGCGAACAATACTTAGTGGATACTATTATAGCCTCTACTAATGTGAGGCAATGAAAAACCTGTAGATATTATTATCTTGACAGTTCGACAGTACAAGTCACGGCAATAACCCGCTTCCGGTAAAAGACAATATTTGACCGTGCTTCGAAAAGCACGACTAAAGTTAAATAGAGACTTGAGAAACTTAGGTACTTGACAGACGATCGTCATGTGAATAAATTGTCTAATTTCTTACAAATTGAAATTTGAAAAGCTATGAATTTGTCATCAACGTGGTAACGTTAGTACTGAAGGCTAGTTGTAGCCTCGTCAGGTAGTTAAACTTTATTGATTTGTTTCTTACGCATATTTACAAAGCTCTATTGGCAGGACGCGTGAACTTAGTCGGTGCTAGTTAGGTGCGCAACTGAAATATACGAAGCCGTGATAAAAATATTCACCCTACTTCCAAAACACCTACCTATATCTAATTTGTTATTCTGAATGTCACTGAAACCATTTCAATATTTTAATATCCGCTACATCTGTATTTGACACTTCTGAAATAAATATAAAGAGGTGATAATTATTGTAAATAAAACATTTATGTATGTTCAGATTCAGACGGTGCGCGGCGCCCGCCGGCAGCCGCGACAAGTGCGACGTTTGTCTATTTTTTCTTCTAAAATGACATAATGTACGAAATTAACATGTCCGACACGTATCGTTACACATTTAACAAAGACTTTAAACAAAAGGAATGTCAAGACATTCACACTTTTACGAGAGAATCGTAAACTTAAAATTGGTGGAGTATCGTGATGTCACGCGGTGACGTGATCGTGACCTCATCGTCTGGGGGTGATCTGCACAGATTACCGGGGTCACGCGTCTACCTCACACACACACGCACAGGTAGGGGGTACACAACACACGTGGGCCACGTAATGAAGCGAGCATCAACCAGCCTGTGCCGTAACTCGTAAATTCCGCCTTTGTTGACTACCTTTTGACAGTTCGTTTCAATGTTTACAAGCCAAAAATAATTTTGTACAAACAAATCAGTTGTTTGATCTTCGAAACATAAAAGAGCTCTCGTACATGCTAGTCTGGATAGCGCGAGAAATGGTTCACAAAGTGTTCTCCCGCCATATAATAAACTATAATTAATTACAATAATCTGACAGCTCGCACACCAAACTGAGAATGCGAATAATATGTGTTATAGATCATATCACGACAACCTTGTGAGCTAAGATGTAATGAGAGAGTGAATGACCCCAAACAAGGGGTGTCAGCAGATGTTGTGGTGCTGGAAGGTCGAGGTGGTTCCCACCTGGCGACTGAGTCACGGCTGGCAGTGCGCCAGCGCCGGCACGGACCGGGGACACTGCTATCAATTACTACAGATACATTAAATGATCTGACTGACATAAGATAAAGTACTATTTGAATGCTTCCGCCGTTTGATACGGTTCATTTTCGTATGGGATTTATTTTCATATTAGGGTCATAGACCCGTATAAGCGAGTAGGTACTCCATTCCTATTTTGTTAATTGTGAGGCACGTAGACGAAACAAATACATGTTCATTTATTATTAGAATGACGATTATGATAGAAATGAACGAAAACTTTATTAATTTTGATGTAACCACTAACGCACTTTCCCTAATATATTATCTAAATCGAGAGAAGTTCAAATGACTAAAAGCTAGCAGACCTGAGTGAGTAGTCTTCATACAAACAAAGACCTTTGTCCGCGGTCACACAGTTTGCAATAACATTACAACGGACATCACCACTCGCGCAGTACCTCGGTCCCTCTCATTGGTAACCAGTTGTGAGCTTGTGAAATAATATCTTGTAATATTACAAAGTAAGACTTCGTGTTAGAGTAGACATTACTTCGTTTTAGGCTTGAGACGCAATACATTCATCTCAAAGTTTTAAAACCTTCAGTACAACGCACAAACCCAACGTTTCAGTAAGGCAGACAGCAATCGTTCCACAAATGTCAACACAAACATCACACTACGTACCATACAAAGAGGACACGACACTGAGCTCCAGTGATGTCACGAAGCGCAAGGGGAGGAAAGTATGACGTCAGAGCTGGTCACCTATCGGCCCACCGGCCCACTGCGCTACATTACGACCTCATGGTGGCCCTCCGCGACCGACTGGCCCACTGTTCAATGTTTTGTTTCCACCAAGTCAGGGACCCAATTAATCATTTTGACATTCTCGTATGTTTTATACAAATAGGGTAATGGAGTGGGCCGTGGTAATCACCCGGTTGTAAGTTTTGTCTTGTCCGTATAAAGTCAGCGTGGGTTTGATTCCACATTCATATTATGACGTAACAAATTAATGTAATCTTATTAACATAGCATTTTCTGACTACTTGAACAAATGCAAGCTTAGTATAAGCTCCGTCGCGTCGACTAGATGTGTAACTATGATCATGGCGTCCGTACATTTTAGACAGTACCTAAATACCGAGTTTTTTAAAGAATTCATGTATCAAGAGATTCACGTATCTCACTGATTTTATTTTCAGTTGCAGTAAGTCTTGTTATTCATCGAATGATTCAGGATACTATTTAGAACATCTAGAACATGTTGGTGCGACGGACGCCAGTCGACGACCTCAACTATTTTTTATGATATGAATATGATACATACAAGTTACTCAATGTGATTGTGTGATTAAGATGCAATAGTATCATATCGCCGCTTACATATTGATGTAGGTATGTCATGCTAAAGAGACTTGGACCTTATGTTGCTGTACCAAGTTTGATTTTTGATTAAGTACAAGATCCAGGAGCAACAAGTAGCTCTTTGTATTGAGACGACTAGTACCGAATGTAAACAAGTCCTGTAGGAACAATAAACGTGGTCACATACTAGACATTCCTCTTTTGACTTGAGTACACATACCACATCCCAGCCCAGAAAACATTTTTGACTTAAGTGAACCGTGCTCACTCTATGTCCTATTAGAATGAAGATGTCTCGTGACGTACCTAGTATGACGCTGCATGTGTTGGTGCAGTCCTCCTGCGTGATGAAGTTGTTCTGGTTCCCGCGACATCCTCCGTACGCGAAGGGCACACACATGCCCTTCTGTGCCATGAACGTCCAGCGCTGGTACAGACCGCGGCACGGCCCGGGGTCCGCCGCCTCCATACAGATACCTGATGGAAAGATAGACGTGTGAACAGCATTTAACATATTTCTGGATACTTTTTTGCTTACCTAAACTCAATATTTCATTGAACACATTTACAATATTACTTCACGGTATACTATATGTATAAGATTACTTTTTCCATCATAAAGGTAACGGACTGGCCGTCTGGCCCCCTATTACAAAGTGGCTGTTAACATTTGTGTGTTTACTTCTCCTGGGAGGGCATTATATGTATAGTTCAGCTTTGATTTCGGAAACAAACTTCTAAATTAATATAATGTATTTGCCCTGTAAGTCCGGTACTCTTACGACTCCTACAAGTTTATGAACACGCTAGTACTATTTTTATGATCGCCGTAACTCAAGCTCGGGCGGCCTTGTGCTGTTCATTACATTTTTATTAACGTTCAGATTTCGCAGTGACTCTGTCAACATCTCGGGGTTTCAGTGTACGGAGCGTCCATAACAGTGTTAGTGATGGTGTGTGACGACACCCACTGTTTACTACTCACACAGTAAATACCTTAGCTACTGAATGTAGTGTGAATTACAAAGTAAATGTTACAAGTTTCAGTCGTGTGTACAACGCGTCTCATTGTTATGTATCTGCAGTGTGCACTGGGCCAGTGTACATCGATATGATAAGGCGATACATTCGTATTCTATATATTACTAACTTCTGTTACGAACCAGTTTTTCCAATTCTTATAATACATATTTTTTAAATTGTGACTTAAGTACTAGGTATCAGAGGCAAGTTTTTAAACTTAGTAAGTATTAGCTTCTGGCAGAGGATTCGCCCGCAATTCCAGGGGTATAATACCTATGTATTACTTCAGACCATAATCTACCTCTGTTCTGAATTTCATTCCGGTCCCTGCAGTCGTTTTAATATGACTTCGTAACAAACATACACATACCGTTACACAAAAATAATCCTTACAGCATGATTCAGTACTCACGCGCGACGGCCGCGGTGGCTTATTCGCGTATTTCATGTATAAGTTTGGTGTTTCTATACCGATTTCATTTTACCTTTTTTTATAAAATTGTTGATGAGTGAGAGTATTATAACCGTAAGAATAAACAAATACAAGCCGAAAGCTCCGAACTGTTAAGCTATCGGAAGTTACACGTGTTATTGTGAGTCAACCATAAAGCATAGACATATGCTGTTGTGGAATATTTTTTACATAATTTTATGTAGAACATCCCCGTCATATATGATTTCTATGTAGCTTTAACCATAAGGCTGCACACTCGACGGAAGCTTAAAAAATGGAGTAACTTCTTCCGTTTTCTCAACATTTCCTTTCACTGTTCTGCTCCTATTGATTGTAGCGTGATGAAAAGTATACTATAACCTCTCTAGGAGTATAAAGAATAAGTGTACCAAGTTTCGTTAAAATCCGTTAAGTAGTTTTTGGTTCTATACGAAACATACGGACAGATAGACCGACAAAAAATTTACTGATTGTCTTTTTGGTATTAGTTTCGATCACTAATCACCCTCTAACAGTTATTTTGGAAGTATTGCATGAACAGAACTGACCTCTTTACAGATTTATTATAAGTATAGATGAGTAATTGATAAATGGAGTTTAGTTCATGTTCATTGCGTTGTTTGACTTTATCATTTTTTATTATTTATGGTACATTTTAAGGCTGCAACAACTAAAAATTTAGATAGACTGCACAATTAATGATAATTTTCGGAATGTACGGTACTTACGTTTAGCTGTCATCATATCGATGGCGCAGCTCTCCCTCTCCTGGCAGGGTCGTTGCTGCATGAGCTCGACCCGGGCGGAGCAGTCCTGCTGGCGGGCGGCCGGCACCAGCAACAGACGCATGCGGAAGCGCACGCCGCGGCCGCACGACGCCGAGCACGGCGACCACGCCGCCCACGCCGTCGTGGGGCACGACGGGTCCGACACCTCGCGCTCCTCCTCCGTGCACTGCGGCTCCATGCACTTGCGGTTCTCCTCTGTAATACGTCGTAGATAATACTTTCGTGTCTCTAATGTCTTCAACTGACTGATATTTATCAAAAAAATAAATAGTAAAAGATGAAATAATAGTAAACAAAAACCGTGTCTAATATTTTACTAATGTCATTAAAGAAGTTTTTGTCGAAGCAGAAATCAAACTTGCAATCATGCTCCCAGTTTCACGGCATCCCATACATTTCAGGTAAGTAATGACATCTAGCGGACATTGCGCGAACTACTACGTAGCCGTACGTAGGCCGTAGCCAAACTTTGTACCTACGTTGAAACACTACGAGTCTGCTCTACGATGGAAGTTACTATTTGGCGCTAGCAGACACTCTATTACTAAGTAAACAAGTAGTTACCGGTGGCCACTAGAGGGCACTTCTTGATGCCCATGTGGTTGAGGAAGTGTCTCCGCCTTGTACTGACCCCGACCCCGCAGGTGACGGAGCACTCGCTCCACGGGCCCCACTCGGAGGTCTCACAGATACCTTCGTTGGCCTCGATGGGGGTCGCGTTGTTGTCGGAGTCTTCAGGGACCCCGTTGTCTCCTCTGGTGATGAAGAAATGAGTACATTAATACACATTTATTTTTATTGTTTAACATAGATCGCGATATACAATCCATACTGCTATGATATAGTCACTTGAGTCGAATGAATATTACTGGACTCAGTGCTTAAGTTGAATATTAGAAATTAATCTTAGAGTGAGTGGTCTTTCGACGTCTAAACAAAAGTTTCGAGTTAAAACTCATGACATTCTATATAGTATACTGTCGTGTCGGACATAAAGTAAACCCTTTCTTATCTAGTAAAAATGGCCATATGATGGGCCCTAAACCATCTCTTGACTAAGAGTTATATTAACGTGAAGGAGCACCGATACAAAACCTTTACTTGTGCCTACTTTCGCCAGTTGTCAAGGTGTTAGTTAAAGATTAGTGAAAAAAAATGTCGTTAAGTTTCCTTAAAAATTCGATGATTTTGGTAGTCCTCCAAGCGACTCACTCGCAGTGAGTTATACACAATGCGACCGATGGACCCACTCGCAGTGAGTTATACACAATGCGACCGATGGACTCACTCGCAGTGAGTTATACACAATGCGACCGATGGACTCACTCGCAGTGAGTTATACACAATGCGACCGATGGACTCACTCGCAGTGAGTTATACACAATGCGACCAATCGACTCACTCGCAGTCAGTTATACACAATACGACCAATCGACTCACTCGCAGTGAGTTATACTCAATGCGACCAATCGACTCACTCGCAGTCAGTTATACACAATACGACCAATCGACTCACTCGCAGTGAGTTATACTCAATACGACCGATGGACTCACTCGCAGTCAGTTATACACAATGCGACCACTCGACTCACTCGCAGTCAGTTATACACAATACGACCAATCGACTCACTCGCAGTGAGTTATACTCAATGCGACCAATCGACTCACTCGCAGTCAGTTATACACAATACGACCAATCGACTCACTCGCAGTGAGTTATACTCAATACGACCGATGGACTCACTCGCAGTCAGTTATACACAATGCGACCACTCGACTCACTCGCAGTCAGTTATACACAATACGACCAATCGACTCACTCGCAGTGAGTTATACTCAATGCGACCAATCGACTCACTCGCAGTCAGTTATACACAATACGACCAATCGACTCACTCGCAGTGAGTTATACTCAATACGACCGATGGACTCACTCGCAGTCAGTTATACACAATGCGACCACTCGACTCACTCGCAGTCAGTTATACACAATACGACCAATCGACTCACTCGCAGTGAGTTATACTCAATGCGACCAATCGACTCACTCGCAGTCAGTTATACACAATACGACCAATCGACTCACTCGCAGTGAGTTATACTCAATACGACCGATGGACTCACTCGCAGTCAGTTATACACAATGCGACCACTCGACTCACTCGCAGTCAGTTATACACAATACGACCAATCGACTCACTCGCAGTGAGTTATACTCAATGCGACCAATCGACTCACTCGCAGTCAGTTATACACAATACGACCAATCGACTCACTCGCAGTGAGTTATACTCAATACGACCGATGGACTCACTCGCAGTCAGTTATACACAATACGACTGATCGACTCACTCGCAGTCAGTTATACACAATACGACTGATCGACTCACTCGCAGTCAGTTATACACAATACGACTGATCGACTCACTCGCAGTCAGTTATACACAATACGACTGATCGACTCACTCGCAGTCAGTTATACACAATACGACTGATCGACTCACTCGCAGTCAGTTATACACAATACGACTGATCGACTCACTCGCAGTCAGTTATACACAATACGACTGATCGACTCACTCGCAGTCAGTTATACACAATACGACTGATCGACTCACTCGCAGTCAGTTATACACAATACGACTGATCGACTCACTCGCAGTCAGTTATACACAATACGACTGATCGACTCACTCGCAGTCAGTTATACACAATACGACTGATCGACTCACTCGCAGTCAGTTATACACAATACGACTGATCGACTCACTCGCAGTCAGTTATACACAATACGACTGATCGACTCACTCGCAGTCAGTTATACACAATACGACTGATCGACTCACTCGCAGTCAGTTATACACAATACGACTGATCGACTCACTCGCAGTCAGTTATACACAATACGACTGATCGACTCACTCGCAGTCAGTTATACACAATACGACTGATCGACTCACTCGCAGTCAGTTATACACAATACGACTGATCGACTCACTCGCAGTCAGTTATACACAATACGACTGATCGACTCACTCGCAGTCAGTTATACACAATACGACTGATCGACTCACTCGCAGTCAGTTATACACAATACGACTGATCGACTCACTCGCAGTCAGTTATACACAATACGACTGATCGACTCACTCGCAGTCAGTTATACA